ATTTAGAATTTTTTTTATTGAAAAAATTATTATAAAAAAATTTTCATTCATAAAAAACTTGAAAAACCATAAGTGCAATTTTTTAAAAATATTTTTTAGTTATTATTTAATAAATAAAAAATAATTAAAAATGTCAGCTAACTTCAGTATTATTTTTTTATGAAAATTAAGTTAGCCGAAATCTAAAAACTTTTAGAAATTTTTTTTATTGAAAAATTATTACAAAAAGAAGAAAACAGAAAATTTTACTTGTAAAAAACTTGAAAAACTATCAGTGGAATTTTTTAAAAATATTTTTTAGTTATTATTTAATAAATAAAAAATAATTAAAAATGTCAGCTAACTTCAGTATTATTTTTTTATGAAAATTAAGTTAGCCGAAATCTAAAAACTTTTAGAAATTTTTTTTATTGAAAAATTATTACAAAAAGAAGAAAACAGAAAATTTTACTTGTAAAAAACTTGAAAAACTATCAGTGGAATTTTTTAAAAATATTTTTTAGTTATTATTTAATAAATAAAAAATAATTAAAAATGTCAGCTAACTTCAGTATTATTTTTTTATGAAAATTAAGTTAGCCGAAATCTAAAAACTTTTAGAAATTTTTTTTATTGAAAAATTATTACAAAAAGAAGAAAACAGAAAATTTTACTTGTAAAAAACTTGAAAAACTATCAGTGGAATTTTTTAAAAATATTTTTTAGTTATTATTTAATAAATAAAAAATAATTAAAAAATTAAAAATGTCGGCTAACTTTAGTATTATTTTTTTTTAGAAAAAAATATTGTTTTTAAATGATAACTTTTTTATCAACAATAGTGCGCAATAAATAATTGTAATGTAAATGATTTGGAAAAAAAAAACAAAGCGGTTTTGTGATGTTTCCGCGAAATTAATTAATTATTAATTAGTTATCTATAGAATCAAAGAAAAAACCTCGACGTAAACTGCGATAGATGAAAGTAAGTAAGAGAGAGATAAATTTGAATAAATTATCTTGTGATTCAGCTCTAATTGGATATAAATTAATCTTTTTCTATCGGTTAATCGCAGTTGTATTGCTGATAAACTAACAGAATGTTGTATTTAAGTTTTATTTTTTTAATTTGTCTTGTTTCAGCTGAAGTACGTAAGTAATTTTTTTAAATTTATAAAAATTTATTTATAACATAGAGCTTAAATTTTTAAGTTGTAAATTAATAATTATATTTTAGCATCATATATACCAGTATGTGGTCGAAGAAATCCAAATTTGAACGAATGTATAAAAAACAGCGTGGAAAAATTGCGTCCGAAACTCCGCGAAGGAATTTCTGACCTTGATGTTCCGCCAATTGATCCTCTAATTATAAACGAAAGACTTGTAGTCGCGGATACTCCTGACTTTAAAGCTGGAGCAACAAATATTAAGCTCTACGATGCGGGAGATTTTGAAATAAGGAGCTTGAATGTTGACTTTGAAAATCAAAAAGTTGACATCAATCTTTTCTTTAAAAGGATGAGGTCAACAGGCGACTATGATGTCAAAGCTAAAATTATTGTTCCTATCGAAGCGACTGGGCCCGTTGAAAACGATGCTAGTAAGTGGATTTTGAATTTTTTGTTTATAATATTTTAATAAGTTTATTAATTTATCAAACAAATAAGAAAAAAATAATTATAAATAATAATGAATTATAATAATAAAATAGTAGTAAATACTATTTCAAACAGTAAAATTGTGATTTTAATAGATTTCATTTGAATACCCATAGAATTTTTATATATGTTTCATTTATCCATATATATTTTAAAGATATAAGCTCATCCCGCTGTTACACTCATCAAGAGCTTTCATTTGAGTACCCACATGCATTTTTGATATATTTTTCATATATACATATATATAATATATATATAAATATAT